TAGGAGAAGGGTTCCGTGTTCTCTGCCTGGCCCTATCACGTTTACTTGGGGAAGGATGTTCCTCATCAATGTCTGTCAGGGCCTGAAGTTCTCCCGGTGACAGAGTTGATGATGCAGCCATTGACATTCGCGACCCTCCACCTCCACCGAAGCGGGTTGAGCCTCCAGTCATCTTGGAGAAGGTATATGTTGAGAAACGTTTCGAAGCTCGTCGTTCAAGAATATCATTCTTCTTGAGTGCTGCCAACGAGTTTTGGATAGCTGGTGCTTGAGTATCAATAACATTAGGATCTGGAGGCGGCGAGTTGGGAATATCATCGTTGCTTGGAGAAGGAGAAGCTATATCAACGACGACGGCAGGTGGCGAAAGTGAAACTGTATCGACAACCACAGCAGGTGGAGGAGGAGGAGATTGGATGATTGACACAGGTCTGTCAGAAAGCGAATAACGGGGAACATGGCTGGGTACTGGTGATTGAACAGATGGAGGACGAGGCACAGGTGGGACTTGGGCCTCTGAAGGTGGAGGTGGTAATGGTGGAGAAGGGTGTTCGCTCAGGGGTACAGCAGACGCAGACACAGAACGACCAAGAGGGTAACCGTTATTGTTCGGTGCGGAAGGTGGCCGAGCAGTTTGAGAGCGAACCGGTGTGGATGCACGAATTGGGATATGTTCGTTATCCGAAGAAGCAGGCTGAGCTTGCATTGCAAATCCACCAACGAATTGATCACTGCCATTTGTCGTAGGACGGGATGCAGAGTCCTTCCGTCGTGTTGAAGTAGCACTGCGACGAGACAAGCTGTCAGAAGATTCGATACCAGATCTGGACCGTTTGCTGGCGGTGCTCTCATGTTTCGCCCCATTCGCTGAAGATCTACTTTCAGGACGTTCAGATGGAGCATTGGGATTAGCGGATTGATGTTTAGCTTCGTTTTTTGCGTCGGAAACGATCCGTCGATATTGTGTTTGCTTGCCCCGTAAACCCTGCAGAAGATTGGTTATAATCTTGCGTACGTCTGGCAGGAATATCTCGAGATTCTCCGGCGTAGCCTCTTCAGCTAGACATGCTTCAAGAACTTGTCGTAGATCATCCGGAACCATCAGAAGTTCTCTGCAGGGAATGATTATAGATTATAATGGACATACAGAAAGGATTTGACCACGTACGACATATCTATACCAAATGTCGCAAAAGCAGCAGCAGCAGCATTGAAATCATTCCCCAATCTCACATATACATCGCTGACTTGCGCCTCGCTCGCCTGCTGAGTACTCCATTGCGTAAGACATTCCAAAAGTTGTTTGATCGCTACTAGAAGACGAGTTACAGCAGATTCAACTGCAGGCTGCAAACATATGTAAGTTAGCAATAAATGAACAGCATCAAAGATCATACAGCTCCATGTTTAGAACTTCCTCTCTCTGTCCGGGATGATTCTGAACGTGTTGAGCTATGAGTTGAGTACACCGACTGATTATCCCGCCGTGACACATGGGAGGCCGCAGACGACCGAACAGACATGAGAGCTTTCTTCAATAACTGCTAGAATCTGCGTATAGTCAAAGATTAAGATACTAAGAGGAGGAACAGGAGAAAGAGACACTGGCAGACTCAGGGATCAAGCTACCCAATCAGGACGGCTTAGTCAGCGTCCTACTTTAGCAAGTCAAGGTCTTCACTGGTCTTCAACTCGCTTTGCGTTCGCTTCATCACCCGTTCATCCGTCAAAATTCATGGGTGTAGCAACCACTCAGAACGGGTTGCTTAGCACCTATTGTCCTTTTAAAATTGTTTCGAAGCCACTTGAAACATACAACCCTTGAATACGTACTACCGAAAAGAGGAGGGGCTGCAACACGTGCTATTCAACGCCAAAGTCAGAAATCCATCACACCACTCTTTCTGGTTGAAGAATGAAAGAATGGGTAGATATACAGTATATGATATCACAATGGAATACATGATTTATCAATTGTTAGGACATTCTAATTTGATACTCTTAAATACCGCTTTCGTCCTCTTAGGAACCTTGTCCCAATCGATAGGACCTTTCGCCCATTCAGAAGTACCGGCAGGGTTGCTAGCATCCCAAATACCGAGTTGTATACGCGACAAATGAGAGGGAAAATGGAAACCACCGTTCTTCTCCGTATCTTCTAATCGTTCGTTGGAAGATAGGTCAGTATTGTGCAATAGTGAGGACGATATAAATAAAACAAACCTTTCTCCAAAGTTCTGGCTACCACACCGTCAACACTCCAAACAATCCTACTCTCGTTCCAATCAATGGTATACGAGTGAATCTCATCAACCTCATCACTTGTCTTTGAATAATCCTCCACTTCACCAAAGACCCCCCACAACGGTTCTTTATCAGCATGAGTGTAAGCGAACACGTTTGTTTGCCAGTGATGAGGATCCCCGCCTAATAATTCGACATCAATCTCGTCGCGTGAATCAGCTAGAAAATCGAAAGAAGTCAGTCAATGACGGTCGGTTTATAACGAAAGTTGAGGGGGGTCGACGTACAACCTATGAGAATGGCCGCTGTGACAGCACCTGGAATCTGAGGTGCAGACAGTTCCATCGTGACCTTTCCGTGTCTAGTATACCCAGTAATGTATCAGGACAGAATTAGCTGTGCACGTTATAGAGAGCGTTGAAATAACAGACTCACAAAAATACGAAAGTAGAATTAATCGTCGCTCCTTCAGCTACTTTATCGTTCACTTTATCTTTCCTGTGAATTTTCCCTTCTGGTCTATCCAGATACAACTCCAAGCCACTCCCTTCCACTATCGAATAGGACCCCGTAGGACTGATGGCCACAAAAGGCGTACTCGAGGACACCTTGTCAGTATGAGAAACGTCAGACGGATCAGAAAATGTGGTTTCGAATGGTTGACATTCATGTGTCTTGAAGTTGGAATTGGAATTGGGTAGAAGAAAACCCGGCCGGCGAGTTTGAAGGTGTTGGTTCTTGCTAGCATTGTCATGGTCGATACTGGAGCCGATGGTCACTCCGTTGACAACTGCCCATAGAAAACAGAAATATAATAATGCGAAAGCCAGCTTTTGAAAGGATAGGGTAGACATAGAAGAGCGAGATTCAAGAGAAGGCAGAAACTGAGAGAAAGTGGCAAGAATTGGCGGGCTTCAACTTCAACTGCTTCGAATTTCGATTGCTAAAATGGGATGGACACCAAAGAAAGCGCTTAAATTATCACGTGCGTGAAATGGCCGTCTGGTACAAAGTTCAATCTGTTGACCGCACATGTTGGATGGATATCAATCATCCTCAAAACGATTGAGGAGGCCACCTAAATAGTTTATTTAGAGGTTGCCATGTATCATCAAAAAAGCAACTCACTGGTAACTGATGAGACTTTCACGACTTTCAACTTGATCCCCTGGCGCAACTCTGAATACAACATCTCATATTCTCTACTCACATCATCCAACTCAAAGTCACCTCTAAACGCAATACAGACCTCTCCCAAGTTAGGGAAGTTGGACAAAAGAATGTACGACATTGCGATGTGATCAACCCTTTCCCGAATTTCTTTGAAGGCATAGATCGCCACGTAGAATTTAATGCGACGAACGGAGCTGTGTTGAGGGGAGAAAGATTCGAGAATAATTTGTACCGCCGGGTTTGTGAAATCGAGAAAGATGAGTTTCTCAAGAGCAGTATGGTATGATAAGGAAAGCAGTTCTCGAATCTCTGTCAGAGAAAACGTGAGTGTGAACATTATAATTTGCCTGTTGAAATCATTATGCCATACTCACTGAGAGGATCATCACCGTAAAAGCCATACCGCCTCACAAATCCCACTTCGATCTCAACAATCCTCTCTTGACCAAACGATCGTAAAAACTCCCCAGTAGATTCAATGTCAGTTTTGTACGTCATGATGCTGATCCGTTCCAACGTATCCCGGGTTGGAGTGTCCAATATAAACTGATAAAACGTATTCCCCAACGTGGAAAGTGGCATATTTTCACAGTCCAACCTAAGTCTCGTCAATCGAGGTTTGAACCGAACAGGATGTTCCTTGTATCTCCCTGCGAAAAGTTCTCTGAAAGACTCGATACGAAGTTCTTGAAGATTTTCAAAACATCCTAAAAAAGCGTATAATTCCTGCGGGGCCATCGCACAGCCCAACAGAACCAGTTTTCTGATCGATTTAAAGCGAGTGAGATTGTCGAAATATCTCTCCTTCCAAAGGTCCTCGATCTTTGCAAGCGTGAGGGTATGGCAATTAGGAAGTGAGGCTGATAGATTCATGGCGAGATGGTTGTATACCCAAGGCATAGTGAATTGAACATGCCGCTCTCTCTTGTCGAGTAGCAAAGTCCTCACGGATGCGCCAATCCATAAATTATTCTTGATAGTGTTTTCAAAACTGACACATTGTTGTGCCGTCTGGATGGAGACATTGCGATAGATGTAGAGCACACTGGAAGCGTGCAATTGACGACAAGATTGAGCACATGCCAATAACGTACTCATGTCGTTCTGGAGGAAATCCATAATATAGTCAAAGACCTCCCATGGAACTCGGGGACTTCTCAGCTGGCTACTAGTGCCCGTATCGATACTACCTGATATTAGAACCATATGAGATTTGAATCACAGCACATGAATTGAATTCGAAACTACATACCAAAGTGGACCATGTTGTTACCTTCCGTGTCCTCCATGCGGCAGAGCACTATGCAACTAAAGAAAGTTCCGAGTAGTAGCAGTAGGGGAAACTGGCCAAAGATGAGGCCAAGATGAGAAAGTGAGAGCGTTTATACATTGGCATGTTCGCTCCCACCTCCATACACCGCTTTAAAAGAAGTATACCTCTCGGATCAATATATAAATAAGTATCATTTGCTTGAGTCGATTTGAGTGTCAAGTTTGGTATCTTTTCGTAGAATGACGGGCCAACTTCTAAGATTCACAATCAAAGAATACCATATATTATACTCCCTGAAAACCACTGTACATCCCGTTTAGCTCAGTTGGTAGAGCGCGTCACTAGTACCTAGCTAAGGGTAATGACGAGGTCAGTCGTTCGAGTCGGCTAATGGGAACTTGGATGGTTGGATTTCATCATTTTGAAATTCTTGCGTCCTCAATCAAAACGGTACGTCGGAAAATCCACGAAAAATCGTTTGAAAGTCCTCTATGGTGGTATAAATTGTATATTACAGCGTAAGCTTCTGTCCTTAAGCGAGGCGTCCCCAAGCCCGTAGAGTACAACAGCTAGTACGGTACCCCATGATATACTCTATATCTGAAAAGGTGTGCAATTTTGATATAATGAATGTACATACACATCGGAGTCACTCATCGCAAGTGTCGTAGGGAGAAAAGACAAAAAACTTGGATCCACTCGGATTAATCCGCTGGAAGAGTTTCGGGAAGAAACGACGCTCTTCTTGACGTTCCTCTTCAGAATTGTCTCCAAAACTCGATTTGGAAAAGAAACGGATGGAGATATATATGCTCCTGAGATTTTGAAAGGGATCTTCACTAAGTACAGTATCAAGTGCGTGCCACGGTATATAGTCATCCGCATTGGCAAACGGCATTTGCGGTGAGGTAGAAGATGTTGAATGAAACCTCAGCGTCAACTCCTGAAGCTTTCCTAGGTCCTGGAGGGTACCAAGCAATGAAGATACTTTACTACAATTGTTGTAGTGGATCTGATGGACTGTGAGTGTCGTTAATTGGGTCCATGGAGGACATATATCGTCGCCAACTACGGAGTGGTACAGGACTTTGATCAGTATGTAAATTGGTAGCTTTCAAGGTGGCACACGTACTGAGATGAAAAAAGTAATCAAATCCAATAGATATATGGGATAATCTAGACACCTTCCGCAGAAAATTGGAAACCTCAATAGCATCCAATGGCGGGTGGCTAGACTGTTCCTCCGGGAAAGGAAGGGGTCCAAATCGCAAAGTGGTTATTATAAGGGAGCTCTCAGTAGCCGTGGATGAGAGCCAAACCATCAGATTTCTGACATCAGCTGGGGTAACGAATATGCTGAGGTATTGAAGACGAAGGTTGCGAGATCTAGGGAAACACGAGAGACTGTTTTGGGAGAGCGTAAAACCATCAGAGAGCCAGTTGACGTTGTTCAGGGTCAGGTCATTGAGAGAAGTAAATGAAGAGATAAAGCGACGAAGATCCTGAAACGTCTGGAAAATATTTTCTGATAACACAAGTCGTGTCACCGAGTTGAAAGAAAGACCGAATAGAGGGAACGAGGGGTGGAATATATAGTAGAACCAATGTATCTCGAGTGTTCGCATGCTTGGCAGAATACGTGAAGAGATGCGCCGAAGGATATGATTGATGCTTATGTTGTCTGCATAAGTGGATGGGGTTTTGATATCACCATTTGCTTGGTCAACATCATTATACAATTCCAGAGCACGACTCTGATGGCCGAGTTCAGGAGAACGATTTACACTGTTGAACAGACGGAGTATCTGAGGAGCTTTGTGGATGTAGATGATTGGGAAAAGGTTCGATCTACTCCTGAAGCTCCATGAATGGCAGGCTAATGAGCAGGAGTTTAATGTCGTCCATCGTGGGCCTCTATAAACCTGCCATGGTGGCCATACGGACTCGATGTCAGAATCAGAAGAAATCTCCTCCGGGAGTTGCGTACAACACTCAATGATGAGGTCGAATATTTCTTGGGGAAAAGCCCTGGGTCCAGTAGTTTCTCCAAGACCCTATGTCATATAATTTTACCATAGAACACTATTCCATGAAAAAATGGTACCAACGGGAGTTTCCATTAGTACTATGATTTAGCTAGATTAAATAAGTCAGAATTCGGGTCGATAGAAATTCACATCATAGAAAGAAACATACCGCTTTCTTTATCTCAAGCGAGGAATGTTATGCAGCTGGTATATTGAAGATGAAGAAACCAGTGAGCTTCAAGAAGGTGGCAAATGCAAGTACTGACGTGGTCGTAACCAAATAACGATTTAGCGCGGCTCAGGCGCAGGCGCCTCGGCATGCTGCGTGAAATATTGAAAATCGTTTTACGAGACGCCAGCTTCTTGAACGAACCAATTTCTTTTCGAATCATCACGAAGATATGTGAATGCTCTGTTCTCAGAATCACTTTGTATATATCAATGTAAGCATAGATTTATGATCTTATTAACCACATCATGGCGACGTTACCGTGACTTATCCAACCTAGTTATATAAATACCATTCGAGTCTATTCTCAAAGATAGAAGTTATGGCACTCTACTTAAGTTAGCAGTCAAAAGAAGATGCTGCCAGAACGTGGACTACTCGTGGCCTTAATCTCTTATACTCACTCAGCGTACTCGTACGCTCCCCCGACTGCTTGGAGATGGAATCACTGCTCACCGACCCAAAGTTTGCTCCGGAGGTTGTAAAACTCTTAGAGGCTAAACTCCTTACTTTAACTTCAGAGCTCGAGGATGTCAAGAAGGTATTTGTATCCATTCTCCTGAGTTTTCATAACTTATCTTGTTGCTATAGGAAAACTTTGAACTGAGATCAGCTGCGGACTCAACAAGCCATCTGCCTGGATTGGAGGAAGTTTTCGTTCCACCTGTTTATACGGTTGGTCAATCTTATGTGGGAATATCGCCCAGTGTGCTGTAGTGATTGACTTATCGGATACAGATCTTCGAGGACTTAGACAAACTCTGCGCTACGGTTGCTGCAACCCCTTCCGCAGATTTTCAGACCGGGATTGCCACCATCCGAGACGAATATCATCGCTGTGCTTCTGCTTTAGAAGAACTCCGTAAAGTGCATACATTCATCTCAGTGTAATTGACATTCTGACCTTGTCGATAGACCCATTGGGATGCTGAGAAACGATTGGAAGAAGTTCGAAAGAAGCTTGAGGGATACGTTGTGGGTACTTGTCTTGATTGCGTTGCAATGTTCTTACTAATACTTTCATCTCAGCCGTTCGACGACGAACTTCATCCTGAACGGATGTCTGACACTGGTGACGATCATGGTGTTGATTTTCGCGCTACCGCGCCGAGCACCATATACCCCGCTTGTCTATCGATTCTAGAAAATGTCCCATGCGCCGAATCTGTTCCATTGCGTTCAGAGCTCCAGGCGCTGTTTGAGAAAGGTATACGTATGAATGATCATTGCATGCCCAGGGTATGTAGAATCTTCAACGATTTGTGCTTACTCTCTCACATCAAATACTCACTTCCAGGTTCTGAAGACTACTTGGTAGGGTTCAACCTATATCATTGCACTATTTCCCTCTGACATACCGAAAGCAAGGGAGAAGGCCCTTTGTCCCTTCGGAGCCGTGTTTATTGGCCTAGCGAATTAGGGCAACATGCCATACTGGTTTCACCAGCAGAACGTTACCAACAAGATGAGAAATGGGAACCTTACAATGAATTGCAAGCATACGCTGGACGCACATATGAATTATTCTATAACGACGACGACGCAGATGGAAAAATTAGCTATGCGGGGACGTACAAGTGTTTGTCAATAACAACCCTGCCTTCAGAATGCTACGAAAAGCTTCCAGATTCCGTACGTACTCCTCCCTCTGTTGATTGATCCTACATTGACATGAGAGATGGATTTAGACTTGTAGAGAATTATTCCGGATTGCAAGGCAAAGACACAATATTCCTTTTAATTGGAGGAAGAGATTTAATAATGACTTCGTATTCGGCGAAAGGCAGATTTCCTTTCTTCCCCTACAATGCATCGGATTCAACCACGTCTTATACGACAAGATCATTGCAAAGAATCAAAAAAACAGCTTAAAGCGCAAGGGCGTATCGTCTGATTCTGGGACTTTGTCAGATGGTGGCGAGGGTAATAAAAAGGCGAGAGATGCCATTGACGAGTTGATTTGACTGACATTTAGTAGGGCAACGGCTCTGCTTCAAGGCATGCTTGATTCTGCACCTTTATTCTTGAAGATCTGGTTCTTTTTTTCTACCGATTGAAGATTCATCGACTCAATGATACGGTATACCCTCTGTTGACGAAGGCAAACATATGTTCCCTTTGTAAATTTCTGTCTGTCAATGCGCTTTCTCCCTAGTTTTGTCTGCCACTGTACTGTATAGCATTTTCAAGTGGTGATCGTAACTTTTGAAACAAATGATATGTCTGACTTCTCTGGCCTGGACTGTTTTATTCTAAAGACCGAAACACTGACTTTATGATTGAATGTTCATGCCAAGTTCACGATGCTGCGCTCGCAGTATTTCTAGCAAGCGCCCAATACAATTTGTCTACTTACCTTAGCCGCAGACTGGCACTTCACAGCCTTCATGACTTGATATTATACAACCACAACCATCATTCAAGCTTCAAGCTTGTATCTACATCACTCCACTATGAGCTTGGACCAAAACCTCTTTACGCTCAACCTCGTACCGAACAAGGATGACCCTAATGTGCTTGATCTCGTAGATCCCTCTGGAAATTCGCATTACAAGAAAGTTAGAGTGCCGGGCACTGTTTATAAAGTAGAAGTGTACGGTGAGCAAATCTCTGTTCGAAAAATGAAAAATTAAAAACTCATTGGGGAGCTGTCGAGGAAATAGATCCTTTATCAGAGTCGTTACTTGCTACTGCGACCGCACCCAGTGCGAGCAGTAAACATAAAACAATTGAGCTCTATAACCCATCAGTGGCGATCGAATTAAAGTACACTGGGACCTTGACGTTCAAATGGAAGTTTAAATGGGAAGAGTAAGCATTCACATTCACCCGCAATATCATTGAAACGACGTTAGCGGAAAGACCGAAGTCTCCTAGGTGGTCTTTATGTCGCTGTACAGTGGCAGTAAAACCTTGAAACCCACAAGGTTTTATATGTTCGTCTCAGTGCAATTATTTGGCATATCGGCTGGTTCACTTGCGACCCTATGTTTATACATACTTGCTAGTCACATCTACTATACGATTGGTGATAGTAATGCCGAGGTCGTTTCCTCCTTTTCTTCTCTATTTCCAAATGTCTCGTTCCTTTATAGCATTTCTAACGACATTCACAATGAACAGACATGAATTCGAGTGGAA